TCAGCAGTTTAGCGCCGCCTTCAGCCCATGGCGCGATCCAGGAGACCCGGGAGTTGAGTCCCACATCGGGCTCACTGCATGGAGCCTGCTTCTCCCTCTGCCTGTCTCTGACTCCCTCTCTCTGTGTCTTGTGAATAAATAAATAAAATCTTAAAAAAAAAAAAAGAAATTAACAGTATGAAAATCTTTATGACAAATATCTGTCAACTTTTTTTCCCCTGGGACTCTCAAATGGAATCCTGGACCTAAAGCAGAAAAAATTTTAAGGCTTTTGAAATAACTTCACAAAATAAAGTTTTCATTTTCCTTCCCATTAGCCTACTCTATAGTTTTCTACTTTCCTAGCAATGAGCACTATTACAAAATTACTTGATAAAAAATGAAATGTGGCTGAAAATTGCATGAGTATCAAGATAATTTCCTCATATATTACTATTTTACAATGTTTGGTATCTCATAAGGCTAAGTTCTCCCACTCTTTTCTTTTCTCTAGAAAAATGATGTATCTCCTATAGCCTCTTCATTCTTCAGAATGAACACCAGAATCAATATACTAGTCAAGAACAAAGGGTTCTTGGACAGACTTGAATCTAAATTCCAGCTGCTTAAAAACCATGCAACTTTAAAATTGTGCTTAAAAACTGTGGGACCTACCCATCTGAAAAGAGCAAACACCATCTGCTACACAGTTGCTCAGAGTGTTAAAAGAAGTTAACATGTAAAGGGCTTAGCATAGAACCTGGTAGATTAAGCACTCCAGTACTTGGCAAATGACAAGGCCACTAAAAAAATCCCTTTGTGAGTTACATTAGATTTATAAAATAATCAGAAAAACCTAGCACAAAATTAGCATTAACATACTATCAACAGAGAAGTTATTTAAAAATTCACTGGGGGCGGGGTAGGGGGGGGCAGCCCCCGTGGCGCAGTTTAGCGCCGCCTGCAGCCTGGGGTGTGATCCTGGAGACCCAGGATCGAGTTCCACGAGTTCCACATCGGGGTCCCTGCATGGAGCCTGCTTCTACTTCTGCCTGTGCCTCTGCCTCTCTGTCTCTCATGAATACATAAATAAAATCTTAAAAACAAACAAACAAAAAAATCAAATTCGTTTAAAAAAATAAAAATAAGGGGATCCCTGGGTGGCTCAGCGGTTTAGCGCCTGCCTTTGGCCCAGGGCGCAATCCTGGAGTCCCGGGATTGAGTCCCACGTCGGGCTCCCGGCATGGAGCCTGCTTCTCCCTCCTCTCTCTCTCTATCATAAATAAATAAATCTTTAAAAAAATAAAAATAAAAATAAATAAAAATTCACTGGGGGGAAAAATTCACCGGGGGTGGGTGGGTGAGGGAGTGGTGGAGGGGTGAGACACCTGGGTGGCTCATTGCCTCAGTTGGTTAAGTATCCAAATCTTGATTTTGGCTCGCATGGTGATCTTAAGGTGGTGGGATCCAAGCCCCCCATCAGACTCTCCACAGGGTGTGGAGCCTGCTTAGATTCTCTCTCCCTGTCCCTCCCTCTGCTTGCGCACATGTGTGCTCTTAAAATTTTTAAAAATTTCAGCAAGATAAGGTCAACCTGGCTGGCTCAAGTCAGAAGCATGAGACACGGTTGAGTTTGAGCCCTACATTGAGCGTAGAGATTACTTAAAAATAAAATCTTAAAAAAAAATTCACCAGGATAATTGCATTAAACCTATAAATTGTTTTTTGTTTTTCCCACACTGCTATATGGTACTTGTCTTGGTTTTGAGACTCAGGAATTTTTTAAGCTAGAACTGATTTTACTACTGTTTCCACAAGTGCATAAAGAGGAAAAAGTTTTAGAAAACATGGAAAATAGGGACACCTAGGTGGCTCAGTGGTTGAGTGTCTCTGCCTTCAGCTCAGTGTGATCCCAGGGTCCTGGAATCGAGTCTGGCATCAGGCTCCCTACAGGGACCCTGCTGCTCCCTCTGCCTATGTCTCTGTCTCTCTCTGTGTCTCTCATGAATAAGTAAAAAAATATTTAAAAAGAGAAACAAAAAACACGAAAAATCTTTAAGGAAAAAGTGGTTATAGTAGCTCATAGGCTCTACTTCTTATAAATCACACTATAATTTCTATTTGGTTCATCAAATCTAAAATATCAATTTTTAGATGCATTTGTTATTCTATACAGTAACCAAGAAACCTGCGGATACCAAACCTAAATTTCCACCACTCAAGAAGCATTTCAATTTCAGAAATATTAAAATGTATCTTAATCATACATAAAATACTGTTATAATCTTTTTTTTTTAATTTTATTATTTATTCATGAGAATACACAGAGAGGAGACAGAGAGGCAGAGGGAGAAGCAGGCTCCATGCAGGGAGCCCGACGTCCGGGGTGTCCAGGGTCACGCCCTGGGATGAAGGCAAGCTCTAAACTGCTGAGTCACCCGGGCTGCCCAAATACTGTTATAATCTTAACAAAATGTTACATGTGGTCAATCCTCATTATTCATGGATTCTGTACTTGGGAAGTTACTTACTTGCTAAAATTTGTAACTCCAAAATTAATACTCATGGTATTTTCATAGTCCTGTATGAACATGCACAGAGCAGCGAAATATTGTCATCTGATATGCACACGTTCCAGGTGAGGTTGAATAAAGTGACACTCTGCCTTGTTTCATCTTACTGTAAACAAATGTCCTCTTCATGATCCACTTAGTACCACAAATTTTTTGTATTTTGCATTTAAAATGGCCTCTAAAGGCACCTGGGTGGTTCAGCGGTTGGACACCTGCCTTCCACTCAGGTCATGATTCTGGGATCAAGTTCCACATCAGAAAAAAAAAAAAAAAGTTCCACATCAGGCTCCCTGTAAGGAGCCTGCTTCTCCCTTTGCCTAGGTCTCTCTGCCTCTGTGTCTCTCATGAATAAATAATAAAATAAAATAGCCTCTAAATGTTGGCAAATTGAATTTAAATTTTAAAAAAAGTAAAAAAAATATATTAAAAATATAAATAAATAAATGGCCTCTAAGTGTAGTGTGGCCTTGTGTTCCTAAACACAAGGCAGCTGTGATGTGAGGCACCTGGCTGGCTTGGCTGGTAAAACATGCAACTCTTTATCTCAGGGTTGTGAATTCAAGCCCCACATTGGGCATAGAGCTTACTGGGGTGGGTGCAGGTGCGGAGGCTGTGAGGTGCCTTTTGGAGGAATGTGTTAGAAGAGTTTTGCTCAATCATGAGTTATAGTGCTGTTGGTTGTGAATCCAATGTAAAAGAAAGTATATTAAATGTCTTCAAATATAAAACAAGGTTATATATTGATCCATTGATGAAAATGTGACCAAAGGCCTATAGAAACCTAGACCTGTATTTTCCCTAAGAACAATGGTTCGATATTCACTAATTCAGGGTCCTTACCAACTTTATACAACTACTAAAGAACTACTTTAATAAGAATCCACTGTACTTGACATCAAGACTTTGCTGTTATTTTTATAGAATGAATCACTAATATTATATACTAATCTTATCCAAGATACATGAAATACACAAATGAAACTTTAAACCTTTACTAAAAAACTTCAAAGAAATGGAACACTACCATATTCTTACACAGAAAATAGTAAATATTGCAAAATTTCTTCCTTTTCAAAGTATATCATATTGGGGCAGCCCGAGTAGCTCAGCGGTTTAGTGCCGCCTTCAGGCCGGGGTGTGATCCTGGAGACCTGGGATCGAGTCCCAGGTCGGGCTCCCTGCATGGAGCCTGCTTCTCCCTCTCCCTGTGTCTCTGCCTCTCTCTCTGTGTGTCTCTCATAAATAAATAAAATTTAAAAAAAAAAAAAGGTATACCATATTTGTGGATCCATGAGAATTTTCACATAAAATAATGAAGACCAATATTAGACATTCTTTTCTGTTGCTGTTTTCATTGAAATGTCTTTGGAAAATGTCTATCGATTTAAAATAGAGTTTCTTCATGTTAAGGTAGTATCTTTTGGTTTAGGTTTTCAGAAACAAATGCTGTATGTTATTAAGTATTATTCTGACACCTGTTAGAGCAGATCATGTGAATTTTGACTAATGCCTGTATTAATATATTTCAAAATACTAAGCCATCTTGCATAACCCAACATAATCATGGTAGATTAAAACCTTTCTAGATAATCTCTGCACAAAATTTCCTTCACATTTAAAAAACAAAAACCCCATGTGCAGGATTAAATGTAAGTACAGATTTACTTCCCCCAATCTTCAGGTTTTTTCCTTAGCATATAAATAAATGGTATAAGCTCTGCAAGGAACTGCATATCCTGAGAGGTTATCTTTCCCTAAGCTTAATCAATTCCAATAATTAACAAAAATCCTTACTAACAACTGGAAAAGAATCCAATTTTGCTGTCAAAGTAGGTCTTTTTCTTTTCTTTTTGTTCTTAAAGGATTTCTTGTGAAAGTACTTGATAAAGGAACCACTGACAGGTATATTTCACATTATCAGGTTTTGACACTGCTCACGACTGATAATCTAATGAATGTTATCTGCAATTTCAAGTCAAGAATATAAAATTATATTGAGAACCTTAAAAAAAACAAATTCCATTAATAAGGACAACAAAGTCTAAGACTCCTGAATTGGAAGAGGACTATCACCTTTTACTAAATATGCAAGTCTCCATAAAGTAAAACTTAGGAAAAGGGAATCAATTTTACACCCCAATCCATGGGACATTAGTTTCTGAAATACCAAAAACAAAAACAAAACAAAACAAAAAAACCCTACTTATTTCACTCATGGGTAGGTTCCATAGAATGGAATCAAAGTAAAACAATAAAATGCATATTCACTGCATGGGAAGTAAATAGGTATATATTCTACATACATACACAAAAAATTTTTAATTCAAAAATTAAAATCCTGGTCTAAGCATGGAATTATTCTGGGTTTGCCCGTAGTAACACTTAACTCTTACTATGTAATATCATGAATGCTTATGAACTACTAAAATTTGAGAGTCAACACACAACTCTGTCCTACAATTATGTTTATTAAAAACTGACATAAACAAACAAAACCTGTACAAAAAATATCCCCAATCATGTATCACTTTGAAATAGTAATCTTGAGAGACATTATCGCCTAGGACCCCCTCTTCCTCTACCCCGACCGCGTCCTCTTCCTCTTCCCCGGCCTCGGCCTCTTCCTGCAACTAAGAAAAGAGAAAAAACAAGGTCAATTCTCTTCTACACTAATTGTTACCTGGGCCACCATAAACAGCATCTACAGGAAAGAAAACTTTAACCCAGCTTCTCTCAAATGTGACCTCAGTCATCCCTCCCAACACATTATCAAGCAGAACCAAAAACTGCTGGCTTACAAAGATATTTTTGCTCCATTTGATTTACTGAGAAATTCATCAAGTTTTAAATTATCTTTCTTTTTATTATGTCTCAAATTCAGTACAAAATAAAATCCAGATGATCTGAACCTTACACAATATGGAAGAGATATATCAACAGAACAGAACATGAACATCATGTGCTAGATTTTTTTGTTATTGAATAGTCCAAACAAATTAATTCAAAGCTAAGAAAGTTTAAAATACATTACATCCAACAATCTTATGACTCTTGAGACGTTTAAAGTTATTTGATCCAATCATAACCAAGTACTTTAAATCTTATAGCAACACCCCGTCAGCTGGTCTCCTAACTGTACTTGAGTATTACAGTGACAGAAAACTCATTTCTCAAATGAACTTACTTCAGTCTTTGGAGAGCTAGGAGTATTAAAAAAAAAAAAAAATCCTGACGTGAAGCTCAAGCCAGTCACATTCTAAACTTCCACCCATTGTTGCCAACTAGCCATACAAAGAAACAAAGTCTAGGACTTCTGTTAAAACAAGGAAGCTTAACAGCATTGATCTCTAATTCCTTCTGAAATACTACTCATGACGGAAAAGGAGTAAAAATGGTAAATAATCCATAAAGAAAAAGAAAGAGGAGGGACGCCTAGGTGGCTCAGCAGTTGAGTGTCTGCCTTTGCCTCGGGGCGTGGTCTCAGGGTCCCGGGATTGAGTCCCACATCGGGCTCCCTGCATGAAAGCGTGCTTCTCCCTCTGTCTATGTCTCTGCCTCTCTCTCTGTGTCTCTCATGAATTGTTTTTTAAGATTTTATTTATTTATTTATTTATTCATGAGAGGCAGAGAGAGAGAGAGGGAGGGAGAGAGGGGGAGAGAAAGGCAAAGACACACGCAGAGGGAGAAGCAGGTTCCATGCAGGGGCCTGATATGGGACTCCATTCTGGGACTCCACGATCATGCCCTGGGCCAGAGGCAGGCGCTAAACCGCTGAGCCACCCAGGGATCCCCTGTGTCTCTCATGAATGAAAAGAAAAAAAGAAAAGAAAAAGAAAAAGAAAAAGAAAAAGAAGAAGAAGAAGAAGAAGAGAAAGAGAAAGAGAAAAGAAAAGAAAAAAGAAAAGAAAAGGGAGGAGAGGAGAGGAGAGGAGAGGAGAGGAGAGGAGAGGAGAGGAGAGGAGAGGAGAGGAGAGGAGAGGAGAGGAGAGGAGAGGAAGAAAGAGAGAGGGAACACAGTGAAAAATTTCAACAAATTTTTAAGTCAGAAAGAAGACTAATAACTGTAAATGTTTAATAAAGGAAGAATAACTCTAAGAAGACTGAAGACCTTAGGAGCCAAGGGTGAGATGAGGCAGGAGGCTAAAAACGAACAAAATGGTTGACAATCATGTGGAGCAAAAGAATGGTCAGTCCTCTCTTCCCCACCTTGCAAAGGTATTAATTTCCCTGACAGGTAGGTAGGCAAGAAAAGGTAAACTAAACCTAAAAACACTTCAGTCTTCAGATTTGAAAATATTTGCAAAGTGGATAGCAGCAAGAGACACAGAACTGAGGAGAATGAATTTAGCATTTTTCAGGCTATGGGTTGCAACCTAATTTTTTTTTAACTAAAAGAGCATAGAAAACATATAGACATTTGCACGTATTAAGACTAATTCTTCCTGAGATTTTTGTTTTGGTTATATGCATGAATGGGCCATGATGCAAAGTATATTTCTTAGTGGAAAGAGGGCATAAAAGTCTCAAAATCAATGTATTAAGTGACTGTCTACAAAACACCCAGCCCTTTCTCCTGCTCTACTCCTATAATGCTGGCTGCTAGGCATTATCTCCTACAATAGATGAGCAGAATCTTTTTGTAGGAGGGGTGGGGAGTGCAAAGCTTCAGAAATGACTCTAGCTCCTGAAATTTTGGGTCTCCTCAGTGAAGAGGCTAACTCACTTCTGAACCACCCTACAGTGAGACTCAAGCTTATGGGTCCAGCCTCCCCTCCCAGAACTTCTCTTCCTAGGATTCTATTATTTAAATAAATGGTCAAAGTACAAGATATTCAAGTCAAGCCTATAACATAAAGATCAAAGAGAGCAAATTTGGGAAAGAGAAAGATCAGTCAATCAAGAAACAAACTCTTAACTATGTAAAAGAACAAACTGATGGTTACTAGAGAGGAGGGGGATGGGGAGATGGGTGAAATAGGTGATGGGGGTTAAGGAGTACATTTGCCACATATCGAACTGTTGAATCACTATGTTGTACACCTGAAACTAATATAACATTGTATGTTTACTAACTGGAATATAAAAACCTGAAAAATCTTGAGTATGTCTCTGCCTCTATCTGTGTGTCTCTCATGAATAAATAAATAAAATCTTTAAAAAATAATGTTTATAATCCTTCAAACTTACCAGCTTCCCTTTTCTTAGATTTCACCTTTGGTTCAACATCCACAAGTAGTGTATCCAGAGGTAAGCTGTCTGGTAGAATGAAATATCGAATGTTATTTCCTCGAATACTCAGTGTTTCCAGTTGTACCGGTTCTCTATTCTTCAAAGTCATTTTCACAGCTTTAAGATGTGTATTCATGCTGACATCTACACCTACAGGGGAAAAAAGAGAGAGCTTATTAGCATGATAAAGAAGGCAACCAGTAAATCTATCAAGCTGCAGTAAATAACACAATACAAAAGAATACTGCCCATTCTGCTACACTCTAGGACACTGCCTATTCTGTAAGACTCTAGGACACAATTTAGTACAACTGGTTAATGGGTGAATGTCAATATAAACCAAAAATCCTGTCTTCAGAGATTATCTCTAGTACATTAATGTTTTGCATGATTAGGTATGCTTACAGATGTGAATGCAGCAAGCCACGGAGGAACCCTGAGTGATACCTGACTCATTCCCACTGTGCCCAGGTATTCTCATCTCAGGGTTTTCTCACTATCTCCATAACTTCCTTATACCCCATGTCACCAAGCTGTAAGTCTTGTTTTATTTTTTATTTATTTATTTATTCAGAGAGAGAGAGAGAGAGAGAGGCAGAGGAAGAAGCAGGCTCTATGCAGGAAGCCCGACATGGGACTCGATCCCAGGTCTCCAGGATCACACCCCGGGCTGCAGGCGGCGCTAAACTTCTGCACCACCGGGGTTGCCCCTGTAAGTCTTGTTTTAAATAAAAGATCCTATATATATTGCAGTATTTTCCTTGTTACTAGGAATTTAACACGTCTTTTTAACTGCTTTTTGAAGGAATCTTACTGTTTTTAGTACTTTAATTCCCAAGTTGCACAAGTTTTGAATGCTCTGCCTCAAACTATTTTTCCATTGCTTTTAGTGTGAGATTTTGTAAAAGAAAAGCACAATTTTCTAGAATGAGTATTATGGCATTATCTTAGAAATACCCAATTAATTTCTATTCCTACAAAGTTAGACCAGAAAACATGAATTCTCTTAACTTTCCTAACATCCACTTCAAATAGCAATTATGGTCAGTGCCACAGGGTCACTAACCATGTTATTGAAACCTCATATTATTCTGATTTCCTTTAAAACAATTGGTGTCACATACACAAATATACTCATATACTATCAGTTTAACACTGTATTTCTACAGTGTTAAAAAATTATTTATAAACTTAAAATATTTCAGAGACCAGGACCACGTTTGACAGCATTTTCATTCATTTGGCTCAGCAATTCTTTTGCAATTTTGCAGGGAACACTTACAACAAGTGAAGAATCTCAGTAGCCTTAAACTATACATACAATTCATTAAAGCAAAGAGTTAAATATGTAAGAAAAAAGACTGAAAGAAAATACTCTCAAATACTCCACCTCCCATATCCCATATATATTTTTACTCAAGGTAATCAAACATGATAATCCCATCCTCTATCTTCAAGGACTTTGCAACTTAACAGGGAACACAAGATTCTAAAAAAAAAAAAAAAAAAAAAAAAAAAAAAAAAGGAAAAAAGAAAGTAGACTTTGGAAGATGCAACATCTTCCAGAGAAAGAGGAACACACACAGGCAAAAGCACAAAAGGCCTGGGGGAAAAAAAAAAAAAACAACAACAACAGGAAAACAGAGGTCACATAAGATAACCTGAAGAATTCAGCTTGGTCTTAGCACCAAGTGCTTAAGGTAAGGCTTAAGAAGGCAAAAAGAAAAAGATGTCTACTACAACAATGTTAAGTAATCAAAAAAGAATTCTGGCCTTAAAGGTGGAAGAGGTGGGGAAAAAGAAGTGTTATAAAGCTGTCTAATGTCCATACCTGTGATTGTTCCATGAACCTGTGTTCCATTCTTTAATTCGATGGTTACAGTTTCGTGACTCAATTTCATCAAAAATCTGTAAAAACAGTTAGAATATAATAAGTGTTCACCTTTAACATTTTACAGTCTTTTTTAAGTCAAAGGGTTAAATTTCTAGACTGTTCAAAATCTGCTATCGATGGACCTGTATCTATTCCTATTACTAGGGATCCCTGGGTGGCACAGCAGTTTGGTGCCTGCCTTTGGCCCAGGGCACGATCCTGGAGACCCAGGATCGAATCCCACGTCAGGCTCCTGGTGCATGGAGCCTGCTTCTCCCTCTGCCTATGTCTCTGCCTGCCTCTCTCTCTCTCTCTCTCTCTCTCTCTCTCTCTCTGTGACTATCATAAATAAATAAAAATTAAAAAATAAATAAATAAATATTCCTATTACTAATCTGCATAACAATTTCAGCCTTCCTTGAATTATATCCTCAGTATTTATGAAGGAGCATTAATAACAGAAACTGCCAACTAGACATTCTGATTCTCTTAAACCATCATACAGCTTAACCTCCAATCTATGCATAACAGATCCTAAAGTCATTATAATCCACAAAATTGAAACCAAGAAATTATATGAAAGTGGTCAAAAGGTACAAACTTCCAGTTATGAGGTAAATTAGTATTAGGAATGTGACATACACCATGATGACTACAATTATTAACTCTATTGTACAGTACATCTGAAAGTTGCTTAGAAAGTAGATCCTAAAAGTTCTCATCACAGAAAAAAAAAACATTTTTTTCCTTTCTCTTTTTTTAGTATCCATACTAGATGATGTATGTTAACTAAACTTACTGTGGTAATCATTTTACAATATACATAAGCCAAATCACTATGCTGTACACCTTAAACTTATACAGAGCTGTATGTCAATTCTCACTAAAGTGAAAAAAAAATCATTACTGGTCATAAAAAATTACACATTTCCTATATGTATACAAAGGAGAAGTCTCCCTTTCTAATTCCTCTTCATGTACATGGGGAGATTCTTCTAGACTGTTTTATATGCACTAATAAGCATATACATAAAATGTTTTTATGCAAATTGGGACATAACTTAATTGACTTCTATACCCTGTAATTCTCATTCAGCAGCTTATATTAAAAACATTTTAAAATACTGTGTATTTTATTGTGGGTGGCTCAATTGGTTGGCTAAGTATCTGCCTTAGGCTCAGGTCATGATCCCAGAGTCCTGGGATTGAGCCCTGTGTGCTCAGTGGGGAGTCTGCTTCTCCCTCCTCCTGTCCCTCCCCATTGCTTGTTCTTTCTTTGGCAAATATTTATTTATTTATTTATTTATTTATTTATTTATTTATTTATTTATTTATCAAATAAATATTTAAAAAGAAAAAGAAATACATATGTTTATCACGAATCCATTTATACAAATCCTTAGCAACACTAATTGCTACCAACATCTTTTGTCAATTCTACAGAGAAAAAAAAGAATTTGTTTTCCCCTTTCACTCGTAAGACTTAACACCTTTTCACGAACATGGGAAATTTGTATTTCTTTTCTGAACTACCTATTCACAATATTCACACATTTTCTTTTTCCTTTTTTTCCCCCGCATTTTCAATTAGGTCAAAAAAATTTTTTTTTCATTTTCTACCAGTTTGGCCATAGCCATTCAAGTTTGTGGTTTTCATTTTTAGTGTTTTTTTTTTTTTAAAGATTTTATTTATTCATGAGAGACAGAGAGAGAGAGAGAGAGGCAGAGACATAGGCAGAGGGAGAAGCGGGACCAGAACCCCAGGATCAGGCCTGAGCCAAAGGCAGATGCTCAACCACTGAGCCACTCAGGTGTCCCTAGATTGTTAAATTTGTGAATACTTCTCCTGGATTAATCTGTTTAAGAAGAGGTTTCCCACTTCAAGACTGTAAATAGCCGTTTTCCTTCTCGTTACCTTTTTTCAAGATTTTATTTTTTTTGAGAGAGAGAATGTACATGTGCAGGGGATGGGGTAGAGGGAGAGGAAGAGAACTTCAGGCAGACTCTGCACTGTGTGTGGAGCCCAGCACAGGGCTTGATCCCACTACATCCCATACATGGGAACAACAGATCACGGCTAGAGTGGAAACCAACAGTTAGACGCTCAACTGACTAAGCCACCCTGGTGCCTCTCTTCTAGTTTTCTGTTTAGAGTTTTAATCCACTTGGAATTCATCTCTTTTCTGTGCAGCATGAGGTAGAACTCTGCCTTTATTTTTTCCAATTAGACAGCTAGTTGCCTCAATGTTTACTGAATAATCCATTCATACCCCCACTTCATCTAGTCTTTTGTTCTCCCATACCTATTATTATGAAATATTTCAGAAAAAGAAAAATGGAAATGTTCGCAAATTATTAAATGTTACCATTTATGTGGGAGTGTCCCCACACAACTTATACTTTCACCATATTATCTGTACTTATTTTCTAATGAGGACACACTCCTACATAATCATAATACCACAATCACATCCAGGAAAATGAAGTAATCCTGCAATATGATACAACAATGTAGTTCATGGTTTCTAAATTATAATTCATAATAAATTAAAAATTTCTAATTTAGAGTATAAATTTCTAGTTTATAATACATTGTATACCCTATTATAGCATCACACTGAATGGTACATGTAGAATCACCTATTTCACTTCCCCATTAGACTACTTCTAAGGGTTAAGGATCAAGATCTTTATATCTTTTTTTCTTTTTAAGACTTTTATTTATTTATTAGAGACACAGAGAGAGCGAGAGCGAGGCAGAAACACAGGCAGAGGGAGAAGCAGGCTCCATGCAGGGAGCCCGATGTGGGACTCAATCCTAGGTCTCCAGGATCACATCCTAAGCTGAATGCAGGCACTAAATGCCGGAGCCACCAGGGCTGCCCAAGATCTTTATATCTAATCCTGGGTGGTCACAGGCACTGACAGCTGGCTGAAATGCTTCACTGATTAACAGGGAAGAAATCTTAAAATGCCACTTTTTTAGTGGCACAGTCATCAAAAAGAGGGGACACTTGGTTTGGGACTTATCAAGTCTCAGATTTTAAAAAGTTACTCTGCCCTGGGATGCCTGGGTATCTTAGTGGCTGAGTGTCTGCCAAAGATCAGGTCATGATCCTGCGGTCCTGGGATGGAGTCCCACATCAGGCTCCCCACAGGGAGTCTGCTTCTCCCTCTGCCTATGTCTCTGCCTCTCTGTGTGTCTCTCATGAATAAATAAATAGATCTTAAGAAAAAAAAGTTAACCTGTCCTTGTTTAAATATCCATGTATCAAATCCTTTTCATATTTGTTGTCAAGAAAATAATCTCTCAATAAACTGTTAATGTGTTATTTCATTGGACAAGAATTCTTTAAGCTCTAAGTTTAATAATCACAAAGCTATATTAGCCTAGAAATTTCATCTAACAGTTTCTTTCCATTGTCAAGATTTGGTTTTTAAAAATCTTCTATTTTGGAGCACCCGCCTGACTCAACAGGTAGAGCATGCAATTCTTTATATCTAGGTCATGAGTTTGAGCCCCACATTGGGCATATAGTTTACTTAATTAAAAAAAAATCTTTTAATTGTCCCCCTTAGCAATAAAGTTTAACTTTTCTTAAAGATTTATTTCCAGAGGGGGGAAGAGAGGGAGAAAGGAGGGGAGGCGGGAAGGAGAGAGAGACAAAGAGAATATGAGTGCACAAGAAAGTGTTCACAGGAGGGGGGAGGCAAAGGGAGACAAGTAGAAAGTAGACTTCCTGCAGAATGGGCAATCCCATGTGGGGTTGATCCCAGGACCCTGAGATCATGATCTGAGCCAAAACCCAGAGTTGGACGCTTAACTGACTGAGCCACCCAGGCGCCCAATACTTAACTTTTATAGAAACTCAAATCATTTGTGGAAATAGGATTAAAGACAAGACGTTTTAGTAATCAATCTACCATATGAAAGTAAAAAGGAAAACTAAGGTAAGCAAAATGGTTTCTGAAGGAACCAAAATTCATCAAGTCCAAGGATGTTTCTTTGACAAAAATTTATCATTATGTGGTAGTCCCTGTGCCTGACAATGAGGACCAAAAAGGAGTAGGACTAGGGACGCCTGGGTGGCTCAGTGGTTGAGGCTCTGCCTTTGGCTCAGCTCAGGTCGTGTTCCTGGGGTCCTGGGATTGAGTCCCACATTGGGCTCCCTGCATGGAGCCTGCTTCTCCCTCTGCTTGTGTCTCTGTCTCTCTGTATCTCTCATGAATAAATAAATAAAATCTTAAAAAAAAAAAAAAAAGAGCTACTAAAGGGTTTCTATCAATGAAGTGGAGTGCCAGGGTCATATTCACAGTGGAAGACAAATTAGGTGGCTAGAGCAGTACACAGGTTAAAGTTACAGTTATCAAAACATGGGAACAATAGATCAATGAAACAGAACAGAGTCCAGAAATGAATCCACATTTATGTAGTTTTCTACAATTTCTACAGTACCAAAGAGACTGTCAAAGCACTCCAATAGGCAAAAGAAAGTCTTTTCAACAAATGATGAAATCTATGGTAACAGGGGTTTATACTCCCTAAAAATATGGAAGAACTAGAAATCTATATAGAAAAAAATGAACCTGAAAAAAAAAAATGAACCTGGATCACTAATTCACAACACTTACCAAGCTTAATTCAAGAGAGATCACAGGCCTAAACATAAAAGTTAAAATCATAAAGCTTTATGAGGAAAACATAGGAGAATAACTTCATGGTTTGAGGGTAGACGAAAATTTGACAGTACACAGAGAATAATCATAAAAGGAAAAGCTGACAAATTAAAACTTCCTCAGAATAAGCTTCTGCTCACCAAAAGACATTCTTAAGGAAATGAACAAAGAAGTCAAACTGGGAGAAATTATACCCGACAAAGGACTAGTATACAGAATATATAAAGAACTTCTACAACTCAATAATAAAACAACACAATCAAAACCAAACACTTCACAAAGACACACGAATGGCAATAAGAAGGTGAAAGTGTTCAATTTCATTAGTCATTAGGAAAATGCAAATGAAAACCATAACAAAACACAACTACATTGAAATGGCTAAAATTAAACTGACCACAAATAAATGCTGGTAAGGTGTGGAACAGTGGGAATTCTAATATACTGTTGTTGGAAGTGAAAGTGGTATACAACTACTTTGGAAAATGGTCTAGCTTTTTTTTTTTTTTTTAAGGGGTGAGGGACAGCAAGAGAGAGAGAGAATCTTAAGCAGGCTGAATGCCCAGGGTGAGCCCTGACTTGGGGCTTGATTTCACAACCCTGAGATCATGACCTGAGCCAAAATCAAAGAGTTAACTGATTGAGGGCCACCTGGGTGGCTCAGCAGTTGAGCATCTGCCTTTGGCTCAGTGTTAGGATCCCCGGGTCCCGGGATCCAGTCCCACATCAGACTCCCCCACAGGGAGCCTGCTTTTTCCTCTGCCTAGGTCTCTGCCTCTCACTATGTGTCTCTTGTGAATAAATAAAATCTTCAAAAAAGAATTAAAAAAAGAGTTAACTGATTGAGCCACCCAGGTGCCCCTGGCATTTTCTTACGAAACTAAATGTTTTATTTATCCATGCTATGATTTAGCAACTCCACTCCTAAGTATATACCTCCCAAAATAAAAAAGGCTTGCACAAGAATGTTCAAGGCAGGGTTTTTTTGAAAGATTTTATTTATTTATTTATAAGAAAGAGAGGGGGGGCGGCAGAGACACAGGCAGAAGAAGCAGGCTCCACGCAGGGAGCCCGATGTGGGACTCCATCCTGGGTCTCCAGGATCACGCCCTGAGTAGAAAGTGGTGCTAAACCGCTGAGCACCCGGGGCTGCCCTAGAATAAATGGTTTTCTTTTTCTTTTTTTAAGATTTTATTTATTTATTTATTCATGAGAGAGAGAGAGAGAAGCAGGCTCCATGCAGGGAGCCTGACCTGGGATTCAATCCCCGGTCTCCAGGATTAGGCACTGGGCTGAAGGTGGCGCTAAACTGCTGTGCCACCAGGGCTGCCTGCAAGGCAGTTTTAAAGAAAATGTGTAACTTTTAACTTTTTAAAGAGTTTATTTTTTTTAAAGAGTTTATTTTTAAGCAACCTCTACACTCAATGCAGTGCTCAAACTTACCTGCTCTACCTAATGAGCCAGCCAGGCTGTCCCGAAAATATGTAACTTTTAAGCATACAACACATTACTATTTGCTAATAAAATGAAACACATTACTGATACAAGTCACAATGTGGATGAATCTCAAAAATATGCTGCATAAAAGAAATTTTACACAAAAAAATGCATACTGCATGATTCTACATTATATGAAATTCTACTGCAAGCAAAACTAAACTGCGATAGAAGAAATTGATTGCACTGGGGGTATGAGAACAGAGACTGACTGGGAAGGGCTTGAGGTTTTGGTAATGCTCCATATTCGGTATCTCAACAGCGGTTTGGGTTATACAGATGTGTAAATTTTTCAAAACTGGCAAATGTACATTGTATTTCATTGCATGAGATAGTCACCTCAAGAAGTAAAATTAAAAACCTTGGGTGGAAATAAAAGAAAGCTTTTATGACTCAGTGGTGCCACTGGAATGAATGACAGCAAAGGTATCTTGGCAGAAAAGAGTTATCCCAGCTCAGAAATCAAACAGATATGAATTCTTTCCAATGAATCCTTCACTTTGAATTCTTTCTTACTGAAACTTAAATATCCAGATAATATCCTTCATAGTACCCAAAAACACACCGTTTGCATAGTATCCTTCAGGATCCAAATCCACACTAACTGAATTAAAAAACCAAAGAAAATTGGATAATGCTGGGGATCCCTGGGTGGTTCTGCCGGTTTAGCACCTGCCTTCAGCCTGGGGTGTGATCCTGGAGAACAGGGATCGAGTCCCACGTCGGGTTCCCTGCACGGAGCCTGTTTCTCCTTCTGCCTGTGTCTCTGCCTCTCTCTGTCTCTCAAGAACAAATAAACAAAATCTTTTTTTTTTTTTTAAAGAAAATTGGATAATGAGAGATACTTCTATGAGGTAGGTAAAAACTGTGAAAACCTGGCCATTTTATGAGATTATTAAGAAAGATGTCAAAGTAAACTCCCAGGTTTTTGGTTAGAGTGACAGTAAGGATGATAGTGCCATCAACCACTGTACAGAAATAAGTCAACCAAAAATGCAGTTAGACAAATACTCATTTTCTTGGAACAAAACATATTCACCAGTAAGAAGAAATTTTATTTCTACAGTCTAAACAAAGAATAGGGTTCAGTACAGCCTTTAAAATTTTCAGGAAAATTGTGTCACAACATGCAGTATCTTTAAATGAGATAAACGGATTCCAAAGAGTGTGACACAAAACTATAAGTAGATTCAAATAGGTAGGGACTGAGAAATTGTGAAAATATACTTTAAATTGTGGGGTGTTTTTCTCCAAAGTTACAGTTCGACTAAAAATTAACCTTAAATGCCTTCCTTAAGAACTCCGAATACATATTGAGGGTTTTATACGTTATTTCAATCACACTAGAAACTGTCTGTCTTCGCAAAATAGTTCAAAGAACACCTTAAAAAAACAAAATCCACTGCCTGTGCCTAGTGTAATAGGTGCCCAATAATTGATTGATCGCAATAAGACTAATCTTGATTCAGACAAAAGACTAGCTACATTCATAACTAAATTAATCAGAAATATCCTCTATGTTCCAGGCTCCCCGCCTCAAGGAAAAACACCAAAACCTTATCTGCAGATAGTTTAGAATGAATTACTCAAATCATAAACCTATAGGCTCAACTAACCAATGAAGTTTAAACACAAGAGAATAGTGATCATCTGCTAATCAGCCACAAATACGTAAAGTGACTCTGCCTGACGTTGGGAGATTCTTCCTGAATTAAAGTCCTATTTTGTTTTCTTTTTCTTTTATTTTAAAGATTTTATTTATTTATTCATGAGAGACACAGGGAGAGAGAAAGGCATAGACACAGGCAGAGGGAGAAGCAGGCTGCATGCCGGGAGCCCGACGTGGGGCACTCGATCCTGGGTCTCCCGGATCACGCCCTGGGCCGAATGCGGCGCTAAACCGCTGAGCCACCCAGGGATCCCTAAAGTCCTATTTTGAAGGGAAATGGGAGTTGGGTAATCTTAACTGTAAGGAGTCATCAAAATAAGAAAAGAAAGAAAGAAAGAAAGGAAAGACCAAAAAACCCTAATTAAATCAGAAGTCCAATCCTGATTTAAAACATTTCGGAAATGGGTTTCATCATTTCCAGATGAACCCCTGCAGCTTCTAAGTACATTCTAAAAGCTGGTTAACGGGACGTCTGGGTGGCTCAGCGGCTGGGCACCTGCCTTTGGCTCAGGTCGTGATCGCGGGACCCAGGATCGAGTCCCACGTCGGGCTCCCTGCATGGAGCCTGCCTCTCCCTCTGCTCTCTATGTGTGTCTCAAATAAATAAATAAATAAATCTTCAAAAAGATAATAAATAAAAGCTCGTTAACTTAATGCAACGCGTACAATTTTCCTTAGGTCTCCCACGTTCTCCGGGAGCGTATAATTTAGTCGTCTTTGCTGGTCCTGAGGGCTGAGACCGGCCAGAAAAATCATCTAGACTAGAGTACGAGTTGTAATGAAACGAACGTCTTCTACCAACCGCAAATAGAAGCCTGTAAGCCTGGCGCCGCCGCCTTGCAGGCCTCTAAGACATTAGGGGGGAAGAAATGGCCAGGCCTTCACGTCCACAAGCCTGAAGACGCGGGGGCCGCGCGCCGACGAGTCTGAAGCCCCGGCTGCGGCGCCCGCGGCGGCGCGGCCAAGCTGGGGCCGGAGCGGCGGGAGCGGCGGGAGCGGCGGGCGCCGGAGGCCGTTAGCAGGCCGCGCGCGCACGCGGCTTTCGCGCCTCCCGCAAAGGGGCAGCGCGGCCTCCCGCTCGCCGCCCAAAGCGTCACAGCCCCCACCCCGCCGGGCTACCCCCTCACCTCACGAGCTTCATCCTAGCGGCGCCGTCGCTCTTTCAGCGCGTTAATGTACAGAACCGGACTACCCAAGCCCGAAAAACTAGGAGTATGAATGGCCGGAAACCCCACTCCTCGGGCTCGGACGTAAAGGGCGCGAGGAACGCTGAGAACGCGAGGCGGAAGCGCCGAGGCCCCCGGAGCCGCACTCCCTTCCGGCCGCGCCCAACCTCACGGCGGCCCCTGGCGGCTGGAGGTGTGCCTTGCGCCTGCTGAGCGCATCGAGAGCCGGTCCAGGAGGAAAATTCCAATAAGGGCGGGGATTTGAGGAGCTCAGATCCAATTAGTGGGCCGGGCCGCGGGCCGCGGGCTCAGAGTACTGTGTTACGGAGCAGTAAGTATACTCGCGAAGGAAATGTAGTTCTGACAAAGCCCCAAAAATTATGCAAATTCAGCTCCAACACCGGGAATGTCCCTGAAGAAAATCACACAGTTTAGCTTATTATTTTTACATTTAAATTCTAGTCACAGGGGCACCTGGGTGGCTCAGTGGTTGAGTGTCTGCCTTTGGCTCAGGTCGTGATCCCAGGGTCCTGGGATTGAGTCTTGCATGAGGCTCCCCTGCAGGGAGCCTGCTTCTCCCTCTGCCTGTGTCCCTGCCTCTCTCTGTGTATCTCTCATGAATAAATAAATAAAATATATATATTTTTAAAGATTTTATTTATTTATGAAACACACACACACACACAGAGAGAGAGAGAGAGAGAGGCAGAGATACAGGCAGCCCGACGTGGGACTCGATCCCAGGTCTCCAAGGTCACACCCTGGGCCGAAGGCAGGTGCTAAACCGCTGAGCCACCCAGGGATAAATAAATAAAATCTTAAAAAAAATTCTGAGGTCACAAACCTCAGAATGGTACCTACATTGTTGAGAGCTCTTGTCTCTAATAAGCTCACAAACTATTTCATACCTTCTCTGTACTCTCCCTCTGAAACCTTTTACAGTGTCTTCCTAAGATCACTCTCTGCTAGTATTTCCTCTTTTGAGAAGACCGGAAGCTATCCTTTTAGAACTTTCTTCCAGTTAGAAGGGTAGATGTATCATTGCCCCTTTTCAAGGCAAGTTCCTCTTCATTGTAGTCTGGCTCCCATCTTTCATTTTTCTCAAGAATTTCACTCCTTCTGGGCAGCCCCGGTGGCGCTGCGGTTTAGCACCGCCTGCAGCCCAGGGCGTGATCCTGGAGTCCCGGGATCGAGTCCCACGTCGGGCTCCCTGCATGGAGCCTGCTTCTCCCTCCTCCTGTGTCTCTGCCTCTCTCTCTCTCCCTCTGCATCTCTATGAATAAATAAATAAATCTAAAAAAAAAAATTCACTCCTTCAGTTATCTCCTAGCTTGAATCATTAATTTCTCCCTCCTTCACAGGATTTTATAAAATAAGTATACAAATTCATCTTAGAAACAAAAAAAAATTCTCCTCTGATGCAGCTGTAGCTACTGCTAGAGTTCTTTCACATAAAGACCTCTTGAGTGATTATTGCAGCAAGGTCCACAACTGCCAAACTATGGAAAGAACCCAGATGTCCACCCACAGATGAAGATGTATGTAAGGAAAAAGTGGTATGTATATATAAAATGGAATACTACGCAGCCATATCAAAAATGAAATCTTTTTTATTTTTTTTGCAACAATGTGGATGGATGGAACTAGAGGGTATTATGCTAAGCAAAATATGTCAATCAGAGAAAGACAATTATCTCACATGTGAAATTTAATAAACAAAACAGGATCATGGGGAAGAGAGGAAAAAATAAAACACGATAAAGGCAGAGAGGGAGACAAACAATAAGAGATTCTTAATCATAGGAAACAAACAGGGTGGCTGGAGGGAAGAGAGTGGGCAATGGGGTGATGGATGTTAAGGAGGGCACCTGATGTAATGAGCACTAGGTGTTATATAAGACTGATGAATCATTGACCTCTACCTCTGAAACTAATAATACATTATATGTAAATTAAATTTAAATTAAAAAAATTAAAAACTTCTTGAATGAATTGTCTGCACTTGTATTCACTCTTCAAACTCCATTGAAATATCTTTTCTGTTTTTAATATTTAAATTCAATTTGCCAATATATGGTATAATACCCAGTGCTCATCTCATCAAGTGTCCTGAAATTGCTTTTCTAAAGGTGATCAAAAACTGCCAAGATAAACCTCTATTTTCATCTTACTCAACATTTCAGCAGCATTTAACACAAGCACTACCCTTTTGAAACACAAGACACTCCTGACTTTGATGCCAAGCTCACTGTTCTACTCCTATGCCAGTAGTTATATTTTCTAGGTCTCAGCTGCCTCATTCTCTATTGAGCCATTACATGCTGGAGTGCTTCAAGGTTTACCCTAGGTGTATTCTTCTAGTGGGTACTTTCATCTTTAGCCTAGGTGATTGCCTCTAAAACCATGGCTTTACTTTGTATCTCCAGCCTGGACTTCATCCCTGATTATCAGAACTCTTGGATGTGTAAAGCAACGCTCATCAAACTTCAGTGTGCATAGGACACACACCTGAGGAAACGTTAGGATGAAAATTCTGATTCAGTTAGTGTGGGGGCTGAAATTCTCTATTTCTAAAGTCTTTAGTGGATGAAGATGCCCCAAGTCTATGGACCATAATTTGAGTAGTAGGATAGTAATGTTCATTTGTGTGCTATCTTCTCAATATCTATCCATCTCCCTTTCCAACATTTCCTAATAATCTGATGATCCATGTCGTCCCGAGGAAGCTGACTCTATCCTTATGTTCACAGTCTGTGACTTGTCCACAGTGGGATTGGGATATAAACTGATTCAGTCATCCCTTTCCAGGGAATACTCTTTCCTTTAGAATGTGAATGGAGACGTAGTAACCCCTGGTGTTTTATTGGGAACTTCCTCAGAATCGAGAGAAGAATCAGTCTTAGGAGAGAGTTAAAAAAAAACAAACAAACAAAAAAACCAACCCATAATGATATTAATAAACCTGTGTATTAGAAACAATGCCTAAATATGCCTGTTTAAATTAAGATTAAAGGGGCACCTGACTGGCTCAGTAGCCTAAGCATCCGACTGTCGATTTAGGCTCAGGTCATGATCTTAGGGTTGGGAGATGGAGTCCTGCATTTGGCTCTGTGTTGGTCATGGAGCCTGCTTTAGATACTCTCTCTTGGGCAGCCCAGGTGGCTCACCGGTTTAGCACCACCTTCGGCCTATTTGACTCCCATGTCCAGCTCCCTGCATGGAGCCTGCTTCTCCCTCTGCCTGTGTCTCTGCCTCTTCTCTGTGTGTGTCTCTCATCAATAAATAAGTAAAATCTTAAAAACAAACAAACAAAAAAATTCTCTCTCTCCCTCCTTTTTCCTTTCCCCACAGCATGTGCTCTTTTGTGTGCTCTCTCTCTCTCAAAAATTTGATTAAAATTAAGGCTGTGGGAGATGGGTAAAAAAAAATTAATTAAAAATAAATAAAATGTACAACTCAGTTCCTCAGTTGCAATATTCACATTAAAAAAAAAAAAAACAATACTCACATTTCTAGTGCTCAAGAGCCCTCCGCAGCTATGGCTACCCTGTGGAACCGTGTAGATACAGAACATCTACATCATCACAAAAAATTTTGATTAGATAGTGCTGCCCTGTTTATTACCATATTTGTTTCCTTCTTTGCATTTAATTGTAATTTACTTATTTATTAACCGACTTGAAAAATGTACTTCTGAATGCAGGGATTTATATCTGTTGTTAATTTCTGCATTCTCAGCATCTAGAATAGTGAGTTGTATACAATGTGACTTCAATAAATATTTGTGAAATAACTGATCATCTTCCCCATCAGAATGTATGCTACATGAGGAAGGAGACCCTGTGTGTATTGTTCACTACAATATCCCTAGTACTAAGCTCAGGGTACTCCTCTCTGTTATCCTTAAGGCCTTTACTACTTTGGCTCTGCCAACTTTTTAATCCCTTTTCCCCTCAATAATATTGGAATAGTTGAGTTCCTACAACTGGTCAAGCTCACTCTCCTCTCTGGACTTTTGTAATTCAGTTCTTTAATCTGGCTAATACTCATTCCTTCTCAACTATGTGGGGCCAGAATTATTACTTATATGTGTCAATAGTTACTGTCCTAGAATATGGCAAATTGAAACGCCAGTATCAGTTGATCTATACCAAACTTCTATACCTTTTGTTTTTATTTTCTAGATTGAAGTGTCTTAGAATTTTAACTCTCTCATAGTAACTCTCTCAAACGTTTATTTCAAATGTTGAAATAAAGTCAACAAGAGTGGACTAACAAAAAAAGCCTTTATTTGCTGCTAGCAGAATCAGTCTAAAAGTGAGAGTATTCTACTGTCTGGAAGTTAGAGGTTTTATAGGTAATAGGCATTTAAGATTGGTCACAATAAAGAAAAGGAACAAGGAAATTAAAATGTGACGTGGGGCAATGCAACCGCTTCATAATTAGCTTTTAGAAGTAGATATTCTCATAACAAGCAAAGGCAGAAAAGTACATTCTGCAGTTTGGAATTAGAAAGGAAAACAATTTGGGACGCCTAGGTGGCTCAGTGGTTGAGTGTCTGCCTTTAGCTCAGGGCCTAATCCTGGAGTGCTGGGATCGAGTCCCATATTGGGCTTCCTGTATGGAGCCTGCTTCTTCCTCTGCCTGTGCCTCTGCCTCTCTCATAAATAAATAAATGAATCTTAAAAAAAAATCTTAAAAAAATAAAGGAAAACAATTTAAACAAGTTTAAATTACATTCACAATTTTGAATTTATCAAGAGAAGTTAGAAGTAAGGGCTTGTAGTTCTTGTAAGGATTGAGAAAAAGATCTTTACAATTTAGAAAACCATAATGTTGAGCACCAAGTTGCATTACCTAGGCCAAAACATGTGTTTTCAGCATGTGTACCCGGCAAAATGTGAACTACTGGAGCTTTCCCCCAGAACTTTCTCAGGAGCTCTCAGGAATGGAGGTCCTTCTTTTTACTGGGATCAGTTTGCTTTGAGCTTGTATAATCTTTTTTTAAATTTATTTTATTTTTTTATTTATGATAGTCACAGAGAGAGAGATTGAGAGGCAGAGATACAGGCAGAGGGAGAAGCAGGCTCCATGCACCGGGAGCCCGACGTGGGATTCGATCCCGGGTCTCCAGGATCGTGCCCTGGGCCAAAGGCAGGCGCCAAACCGCTGTGCCACGCAGGGATCCCCGAGCTTGTATAATCTTTGAAAGCTCAGTCAAGCAAGATAATTTATTCAGTTGATTATGATTTCTTTTAGTAGATAACCAAATCAAATGAACCAAATTCCCAAGTTCATAGACAGACTGCGCTAAATGAAAACTATTGATAAAAAAAAACAACTATTGATAGAAAACAAGACAAATTTTGTCAAAAATGACATTACAAGTGCCCCTGGGTGGCTCAGTCAGTTGGACATCTGACTCTTGATTTTGGCTGAGGTCATGATCTCATGGGTCATGGGATCCAGCCCTGCAAGAGCCCTGCATCAGGTTCTGTGCTCAGCAGGGAGTCTACTTCTCCCTTCCTCTCTCTTTGCCCTTCCTTTCTCTCTAAAATCAATCTTTCAAAAAAATGACATTACAGAATAATGAAGATTTCATCAAACTGCAAATTGAGGGATGCCTGGGTGGCTCAGTTGGTTCGTTAAGTTCCCTTCATTGTCTCCAGTCGTGATCTGGGGTCCTGGGATCAAGCCCTGCATCAGGCTACCCGCTCAGTGGGGAGTCTGCTTCTCTTTCTGCCCTCCCACCCACTTGTGTGCTCTCAAGTAAAATTTTAAAACAACTACAAATTGAGACCTCTGACATTAATGAATCAGAATTGAGATATCTTTTAAAATGATAAATAATGCTCAAGAAAGTTTGTTTTTCCCATAAAAGCAAACTATTTTTTAGACATTTTTATTGAGATATAATGGACATAAAAAACTGCATAACTTTAAGGTATACAATGAGTTGATTAGATGTATTTATAGATTGCAATTATTGCCATCTTAGCTGACACCTCTATCATGTCAAATAATTATCATTTCCTTTTTGCGGTGAGAGCAATTAAGATCTAGTCTCTTAGCAATTTTGATACTTATAATGTGGTATCATAAAAGCAAAGTATTTTATACTTCCACAGCATGTGTAGAAGCTGACTATATTTGGTTTTAGAAAAGCAAATCTTGAATAAATTGCAGACATGAATTATATATAAATATATATATATAAATGACTTATATATCAAAAATTGGTACATATGTGTTTGCATGACATGGCATTTATAAGGATTCCTATATTTCTGATTGTGACCAATTCAACAAGTAGAGTGGACTAGATTCCTCAGAAGCAGAGGCCTATTTTGTGGGAATCGAAATTTGTAAATATGGTCTGTGTGTGTGCACAGAATTTGAATTACTAAAAATAAAGTGGTTTACCCACGAAAAGGAAATCCCACCACTTGTCTGACAACCTAAAAGTGAAGACGAATCAAGGTGAGACAGTCCGGTACATAAACCACTTTAATCAGGTTGGCAGTCTACCCCTTAGTTGTTTCTCTCTCTCTCTTTTTTTTTTTTTTTAAATTTATTTATTATAGTCACAGAGAGAGAGAGAGAGAGGCAGAGACACAGGCAGAGGGAGAAGCAGGCTCCATGCACCGGGAGCCTGACATGGGATTCGATCCCGGGTCTCCAGGATCGCGCCCTGGGCCAAAGGCAGGCGGCAAACCGCTGCGCTACCCAGGGATCCCTCTCTTTTTTTTTTTTAAATTTTATTTATTTATTCATGATAGTCACACACACACATACACACACACACACACACACAGAGAGAGAGAGAGAGAGAGAGAGAGAGAGAGAGAGAGGCAGAAGCAGGCTCCATGCACCGGGAGCCCGACGTGGGATTCGATCCCGTGTCTCCAGGATCGCGCCCTGGGCCAAAGGCAGGCGCTAAACCGCTGCGCCACCCAGGGATCCCTAGTTGTTTCTCCCTACCCTCATCAGAGTCATCTGGAATATGCCATTAAAGTGCATATTATCAGGAACAGGGGGTGGGGGTAGGGCCACAGGCAGGTTTTTGCCAAGTAACACAACGTACGGTGATGTGGGCAAACGGCCTCACCCATCAATACCTCTGGTTTTGGTTTCTAAAATACAGACTCCAGACGAAACGGTCAGGCAGCTCAATAAAGTCTTGTGGGAGATGTGTTGTCAGAAAACCAGGCTTGACGTCAGGCTTGAAAAACCGAGAGCACACTTCGGGTGCACTTAGCTTCTCAAAAGCAAGTCAGGAAGGGGAGAGCCCGCGTATGATCATCTCTTCAAATTCTCAAAAGCACGAGTACCGGTTTTACCTAATCTCACAGCTCTGCAAATAAAAATGGCACAGTAAGCGTGTTCAAGAGCGTGGGAACCACGAAACCTAGTGACAGAGGCTTCAAAGAACCAAAGCTTTGTCTGAACACCCGCCATGACTAAGTCGCGTGGGACATCCTACAATTGCTGGACTCCCGCGCGCCCGCACACGCGGAGGAAAGTATGCAACCGTGAGGTGAAGCCCGGGATGGTTCGGAAGCGCTGTGAGCGCAGTGCCGGGGAATTGCAATTGCTTCCCCTTTTCTTTACATCGGCCCAGGTCGACGATTAAAGGTACTTGAAATAGAGGTGGCAGAGAGCAGGGCCCGCAACCCACACCGGGACCAGCGGCGACGCATTTCCAAGACTAACCACCAGGGCCGCGAGCGTGGGTGGCTTTACCAAGAGACGTCCGAGCCAGCGCCAGCGGCTGCCGCCGGGGGGCGCCGCCGCTCCCCTGCGAGGCTCCCACCCGCGGGGCGCGCACGCGAGGCCTCCCACTGCGCCTGCGCTGAGGGTGTACGCCGGCTTGCCTTTCCCCGACGCCCGGCAGCCCCCGCCTGGGTGAGACACTGCGTGACACGCAGCGAGCGTGGCGGCCATCTTCCTCTGCTGGGCACGTCAGCTGAGCCTGTGACCGCTGAAGAGGAGCGTTGCGCAAGCGCGACCAAGACGGTCACAGGTAACTCCCATCTGACGGGCGAGGCGTCGCCGTCGTCGCCGGAAGTTCGGCGTATTGGCACCGCGGGAGAGGCGGCGGTCGCGGCAGCAGCAGCTGTCTCCTGATACCCGGATGTGAGGCGATCCGCAGGCTCGCGTTGGACCCTCGGCCGGGAGCGAGGAAGGTAAGGCTGTCTTCCCAGCCGTCCCCCCCGCCCAGTGTCGCGCCGCCTGCGTCCTCACCTCGCTTCGGCCAGCCTCTCGGGAGAGCTGGATGACTCCCTCCCCCCCTTCCTGTCCCACCTCCTGTGTCGTTTTGCTTCGTGCGCTTCTTCCCACTCCTCTGGTCCGGGCTCCTGGAGCTCCTGGGAGGCAGTGGGCGGCTCAAAGACCCTGCCGCTGGAGGTGGGCAATCGTCCTGGCGTCTCGGCTGCCGGTCGCCTCATCACCTGCCGCTGCTGGGTAGGTAGGCAGAGGTACTGAGGGGCCATGACGGAGGACCGCGGGTCAGGCCAGGGCTCCCACGGCGGCCGACGGGGCATCCGGAACCCCGAGGTGAGGCGTGCAGCCATTGCAGCTGCTGGGGCGGTGTCGGCGCTGGCCGGCAGGTAGCCCCGGGCCTTGTCCCCGCCCTCGGCGGCGTTCGCTCCCCGCGCTTTCCGCGAGCCAGCCCCGCCAGCCGTCGCAGAGTCGCGGTCCCTGCGGCTTGCTCCTCCGCCTTCGCCGCCGGCCGCTGACCCGGCCTGAACCTTGAGGCCTCTGCAGTCTGCGGGGTGCTATGTGGGGCTCTTGGAGGGGAGCAGTGGCCTGGGTCCAAGGTCAACGAGTAATTCAGGTTGGACTTGAAGGTCTGGGCACAGGTAGGGCTGATCTGGAGTAGAAATGGGTGCATTGAAGGCCATAGTGAAGTTTATAGGGATAGATGCGGGCAGAAGGGATTGGGTCCTTTATTTTGGTCACTGTTCGTTCATAAGATTATTTACAAGGTGGGGGGGGGCTTTTTTTTTTTTTTTTTATTCAGGCGGAATGGGATAGCGAGTCCAGAAATTAGAGAGGTCTCCTATCCCCCCCCCCCCACACTAGAAACCTCTCCCCATCCCCCACGTCTCATCTCCCCATCCCCCCGCCTCTAAATTTGAGTTCCTGGAAACCCTGGCGCAGGTTCTGTATTTTCCGGGGGCGGGCAGGGCGCAGGAGGAGTTATATCGTTGTGCTTTGAGGAGTACTGTGAACCTTTTTAGGTAGTTGAAATGGGATTCTTTGAGCAGGAAGTAATTGCAGCACCCAGCATTTAACTAGTATTATCACATAATGTTTCAGTGAATAATGAACTTTCGCAAAAACCAATGAAAGAGGGCCACTTAGTGGAATAGTAAGATGTGAGTGGGTTTTGCTTTTCCTCCTTTAATTTTAAAAAGCGAGGTAACACGGATTTCAGTTTAAAACCTAGTTGCAGTGAACTCTGGTACTTTCAGTCTCTCTTTTTGTTGGGTCCTTAGTTTCCGCTTTTCGTAAGGCATCTACGACAATGGAACGATTTTTAATTTGAACAACTTAAAACTTCTCGTTATGGAATTAGATATGCGAGTAGGATGAAAAGTGCTTAAAAACCGCTTAATTTGGAAGCTGCAGATTCAGGCCGAGAGCATGTAAGGAAATCAGAAAACTTTCTCCTTTTTAGGCAGAATGCAGTATAGATTATATATATATATATATATATATATAATTATATATATAATTTTGGTTAGATGTGTGACTTCGGAAGTACCCTTCTTAGAACAAAACTTGCCCTGGCTTATGAGCTTCTGTCCACCGTAATCATCCTGGCTTAGGAAGATTTGCTATCATTTCTCATTGGTCCATATTACAATTCTGTAATGAACAATGATTTTTTTTAACATCAGACTCATTTATACAGAGTTTTGTGCTGCGCATTTAAATCAATACATTATGCTTCCAAAAGGAAGGAAAAAGAGCCCGAATTAATAAATAACATTACCCCCCATTGCTGGATGCCTCTTATAGCTTGGTAATTTATTACAGCATGGGCTGATTGTATTTATTGTGATAATGACGGTAACTAGCATTGCACGGTTCAAAATAAATTTTTTTTTTTTTTTAAAGTTTTTTATTTATTTATTTACGATAGTCACAGAGAGAGAGAGAGAGGCAGAGACACAGGCAGAGGGAGAAGCAGGCTCCATGCACCGGGAGCCTGATGTGGGATTCGATCCCGGGCCTCCAGGATCGCGCCCTGGGCCAAAGGCAGGCACCAAACCGCTGCGCCACCCAGGGATCCCAAAATAAATTTTCTTAAGATTTTTATTTATTTATTTATTTATTCATGAGAGACACAGAGAGAGGGGCTGAGACATAACGCAGAGGGAGAAGCAGGCTCCCTGCTCCATCCCTGGACCTGGGGATTAGGCCCTGAGCCACTCAGGCATCCCAATGATTTTTTTTTTTTAAGATTATTTATTTATTTATTCATGAGAGACACGGGGGGGGGTGGGAGAGAGAGAGAGAGAGAGGGACAGAGACACAGACAGAGGGAGAAGCAGGCTCCATGCAGGGAGCCTGACATGGGACTCTATCCCGGGTCTTCAGGATCAGGCCCTGGACTGAAGGCAGCGCTAAGTCGCTGAGCCACCTGGGCTGCCCTTTGTTGTTGTTGTTTTTAATAGTTAAAATATTCTTCCATGATTTTGGGGGGGGCAGATTTAGGTTCCATGTAGAGTTCTTTGATAAACCCTTATTGAAGGTGATCAGAAGTTTTTTAAGATGGTAGTTTGAAATCAGCTCTAGTAAAATTGTTATTGTAGGTAATTCATTTAAGGACTGTGTTACCCTTCAGCAGCCCAAATTTTTCTGTGCCATCTTTTTTTTCTTGATGTAGTGAAAGTTCTTTGTCTCTATTTCTGTATAAGTTCTGTGTTATAGCTGTATCATACTACTGTAGTACCTTTTGGCAGATGGATAATTCTGCTAGCTTGACCATCCTTTTTTTTGAGGGAGCTGTATGTTATGCTTAATTGCATTATGGTACATCTGAAGAAAGCATTATTTATGTCTTCTGCTTTCTTCAGCTTACTTCAAAAACATTTATGGCTGCAAATGTGAGATTCGGAGAGAGGAAATAAAGTGGAGTATTAAATATTATTTTAAAGAAGTGGCTCTCAGACTTTTTGGCTTAGGATCTCTTTACACTCTTAAATTATCTAGGATTTCAAGTAGCTTTTGTTTATATGGCTTATGTCTATTGGTAATTCTTGCAATCTAAGTTATTTTAAATATTTAATTCATTTAACCACAGCTAATAACCTAATTACAGGTTAGTATAAATAACATTTTTTTATGAAAAACAACTATTTTCCAAAACAAAAATTTAGCGAAAGAATGGCAACTGTTTTACATTTCTGTAAAACAAAATGCAGAGGGACTGAGACATCTCTTTACCATTTGGCCTAATGGAAAATGGCTAGATTTTCCTATCAATTTTTGCACTCAGTCATATGTTATTCTGGTTGAAGTGTATGAAGAAAATTTAGCTTCACACCAAATATGTTGGGAAGAGTACATTAATAATCTTTTCAGATAATTGTGATATTTTTCTTTGATTCTACAACAAAACTCAACAAGTGGTAATTTCTTTCTTTTTTTTTTTTTAACAAGTGGTAATTTCTTAAAGGTTAATTGCAATGTGGAATCTGAAATCAGCTCTATATGCTTTTTATACAATGTTGTGTTAAAAATCATTGGTCTGTTTTGCACTTTAATCTTTTACTCAATGATTTTGATTTAATGTACCCCCTCAAAGGATCTCTGGAATCCCCATGGTCCCCATATCATGCCTTGAGAACTATTGCTTTAATGTAAATAATTCAGTAGTTTAGAATGAATGTAGGTACTGAAGCTGAAAGGGGTAATGATAGTATGGAGGTGAAGTTGTCAAATAGTTAAGGGAAACCAGGGGTAACTAAGGTAAATATTTTCTTTTTTATGCTTTTTATAAGAAATACTATTGTATCAGTAATATTAATGTTTATAACTAATTTTTAGTGTATTTATTAACAAGTGCTTATGATGTGCCAGGAGCTCTTTTAAGGAGTTTATATTGGGGAATATTTCTTTTGTATCATCTTCAGTGATGGTTAAGAGAAAGGCAAATGTAACTTAACTTCTTTTCCAACAGATAGTACAGTCTTCCTGATGTATTATTTATAATGCAGATACAGTTCCATTTTATTTTATTTTGTTTTATGTTTAAGTAAGCTCTAGGTCCCAGCATGGGGCTTGAACTTACCACTTGGAGTTCAAGAGTGGCATGCTCTCCTGACTCTCCTAGCCAGCCAGGTGCTATCTATTCATTAATTTTATTTTTTTACTTTTTAATCTTTTATTTATTTATTTTTAAAAATACTTTATTTATTTATTCATGAGAGACACAGAGAGAAGGCAGAGACATAGGCAGAGGGAGAAGCAGGCTCCTCACAGGGAGCCCAATGTGGGACTTGATCCCAGGACCCCAGGATCACGCCCTGAGCCAAAGGCAGACACTCATCTGAGCCACCGGTGTCCCCAATGTCTAACTTTAAAGATTTTATTTATTTGAGAAAGAGAGAGAGTGCGGGCGGGGAGCAGAGGGAGAGGGCGAAGCAGACTCCTGCTGATAGGAAGCCCAATGCCTGCTCCACCAAGGGCTTGATCCCAGGACCCTGATACAGTGACCTGAGCTGAAGGCAGACAGTTAAGGGACTGAGCCACCTATGCACCCCTTCAGTCTCTCATTTCAATATTTTTATCACCCCAAGAAGTCCCATGCCTATACTAGTGTGTCATTCATTTCCATTCCTTCCTAGCCCTTTACTACCAGCAAGCCATTTGTTTTTATAGGTTTGTCTGTTCTGGACATTTCATATAAATTGAATCATATAACATGTGATCTGGACATTTTATGTAAATTGGATCATACAACATAATCTTTTGTGACTAGCTTCTTTTACTTAGCATAATGTTCTGTGTAGCTTGTATGAGTACTTCATTCCAGTTTTTGGCTAAATACAATCTGTTATATGTGTATACCACATTCTGTTTATTCATTTAGTCAGTTGATGGACATTTAGATTGTGTCCACTTTTTGACTGTTACGAATAATGCTGCTATGAACATTTGTGTACAAGTTATT